ATCTAAACAATAACTTGCTGGCAGGTGAACATAACTTGTCAATATTAAAAAAAAAAGTTGTTAATTTGTAAAATTCAACTTGTTCAATTTTACAACTTTTTTTTTGCTGATAGTTTCTACAACTTGTTCTTAGAATATTAACAAGTTATTAATAATATTATGTTAAATAAAAATATGTACATATTATAAATTGAGTTTCCAAGAACTGTCATAAGTTTTTTTTTAAAACCATAAACATACCACTTAATTACATTGTAGATGGCATATTTTTAGAAAACACTTGAAAACATGAAACCAAAAAACCTACATTTAGGCCTAAAACTTGCCTCCAGCATATATATGTGTGTGTGTGTGAATCAACATAGCTTTGGGCCTCATCACTAAAAAAAAAAATGAAATTGTCCATTACAAATCAGTACACAAGTTATCATATACATGTGCTCGTTCAAAAGCCTCTTTCCCAACATCACGGATCATGTCCTCTAACTGATCTTTATTCATTTGTACTTCATCATCAAGATTATCAATTCCCACACATTGAGATGTGTTACTATAATTTTTCAATTGTTCACCATGCCAAATCCATATTGTATAATTTTTGCAAATCCCATTACAAACTAAGTGCTCTCTTATTTCGGCAACACCTAGTCTCCTCTCATTCAAACAATTAATACAAGGACAATAGAACCTTTCACTACTGTTAACAATATTTTTCTTAGCAAATTCTAAAAATTCTTTCACCCTATTATCATACTCGTCACTCATTCGTCTAGCATTCATCCAACTATAATCCATGTGTCACCTCCTAAAGAATATAACTAATGTTATTACCTTCAAACTATTTCAAGAAACTAAGTTCCTAATTAATTTAAGATTTAAAAAACTTTCGGCAGAGTCTCCTCTGAAAATTGGATCTCTCAAGACTTTTTTAAAAAAATTTAAGAAAAAATTAACAATTTTAAACCAAATAAATGATCACATGTAACAACCTAAGGCCTCATAAAGCTACTAATAGCACTCCCAACAACAATCAATATCATTAAAAACTAAATTTAAGCAATTTAGAGGAAAGAATGAATTTAAAAAATATTTCGACAGAATCTCCCCTAAAAATTGGATTTCTCAAAAGTTTTAAAAAATTTTACATGAAAAAATTAACAATTTTAAACCAAATAAATGATCACATGCAACAACCTGAGGCCTTATGAAGCCACTAACAGCACTTTTAGTAACAATCAATATCATTAAAAACTAAATTTAAGCATTGTAAAATTTAAAAATTCATATTCAACATATACCTTGGTGGCGGTAGTTGTAGCAATGGCTCAGTACTAAGAAAGTAAGGAGGGGAGAAGGAGTGGCGGCAGGGCAGAGATACTGAGGAGGGGGGCGGGCAAGAGGGAGGGAGGGAGAGAGGGAGGGGGCGGGGGAGGGAGGGGGACAGGGACGAAGGGGTGGACGAGGGAGGGGGCGAGGATGAGGGGGAGGGGGAGGGGGAGGGGGCGGGGACGAAGGGCTGCCGGGGTGGATGAGGGAGGGGGCGAGGACGAGGGGGAGGGAGATAAGGAGCGGGGGGCGGCAAGGGAGGGGGGAAGGCGATGAGAGGGAGGAGAGCAACTGAAGGAGAGCAAATGAATAGAAAACAAACTTTTTACACCGAATACACGGCCACCCGATGTAAAAATTAGACTTTTTACATCGGGTGAGTCCACCCAGTGTAAAAACATTTTACACCGGGTGGACTCACCCGGTGTAGAAAAGCTAGTACACTCGATGTAAAAAGCTCACTTTTTATATCGAGTGCACCTCCCGATGTAAAAAGTCTGGTTTTTACACTGGGTGGCCATGCACTCGATGTAAAAAGTCTACTTTTTACACTGGGTAAGTCCATCCGATGTAAAAAGTATCAAATAATTCAACATAGTTACAAAAATGCCACCGCCTTTATTTTTTACACAGTTTGCCTTCCAATCGATGTAAAAAGTAGCCCGTAGATTTTATATTTTGTACTAGTGCTTGACGGACTCGAGCCTAAGGCTAACCCGTTTAAGCCCTAATTCTCTTTAAGCCTTAGCCCGTAGATTTGATCCTTACAAGGCCTTAATTTCTTCAAAATGTTGGATTTTGCCAACTTCATATATTCTCATCTCATTTTCCATATATCTTAACATTAGTTCTATGACGCTGAAATGACCTTATTGTTGTCATTGAGAAGTGAGAACAACTATTCAAATAAATAACGCACAGACTTTCACGCCTATTTTGTATGCATTCCGTTCCAAGACAACACATATTGAAACAATACTCAACATGAAGCCTCTCCAGAGTCTGACAGTTCGATCCCATTGCTTCCCAACCACGTAGATTCACCTCATCACATTATGATAAGTTCCATTCTTCAAGTAATGCACATAGTTCATGTTCGGTTATTAGAATGAAATGGAATGGAATGGATTGAAAAAATTAAAATAAAAATAAACTAAATTAGCTTTCTTCTCATGATAAGTATAATAAAACTTATTAATATATAATATTAATATGGAAATTATCACACCCTCTAAAAATATTATGAATCATGCTTTTTAATCTCATGAACTAAATTACCCCTCCTCCTTATGAATATGCTTATTTATCCCTTTTAATTATTTTATTTTTATTTTTTTAATTCATTTAATTTCATTTCTTTCTAGCAAACAAGATATTAAAGATTTCCACAACTGTGTCATCGTTAACAGTTTTGCAGTTTCTAAGGTCGAGAAGTTTAAGGTTGGAGGCAAATCCTAGTCCTAGTGTGGTGGCAACACTTAAAGATTCTACGTTCAAATGCTGTAATCCAACACCACTAACTATTTCCTCTATCCCTTCTGGTCTTGGCTTGCAGAACCTAGCTTCCACGTAAGCTAGGGTTTCTGCACGCCCTTTGAACCCCACACCAGAAATACCATAACAGTCTGACAACTTCTTGAAGTTGCCGACATTTCTGCATGAGAGAGTTTAATCCTTTGTCTGATATTCGAGAACAATGTGAGAGGTTCACATTTATTACAGACGAGAGAAACATTTGGATAAAGTCTCTAAACCTTTATCTGTAATCTTGAGGCACTTGACTGGAGACTGATTACAATCAATGATTTGCAAATTGAAGCGATCAAGGATAGGCCCTGGTCAGTGATATTGGAACAAGAATCTATGAAGTTCCTGTAAGTTTGGACAATAGTGTTGGAGATAGGTCAACCCTAAATCAGTTAAATCTGTGCAACCAGGTAAAGACAGTGATTGCAAATGTTGAAAGCGACTTAGCAAGCGATGGAGATGAAAATCTTGAACGCAGAAGGACTTGTCAGATAAAAATGAGGGTATGATGAAAGCAAATCTAAACTGTAATGACTGACTATTTGTGTTTTGAATGTGAAGCCATCTTGGCAGTCAGGCCAAATGATTGATTTGATAAGCCATTGTTTAGACAATGAAATATAGAAACAAGGCATTCATCTGGCAGGTTCATGATCGATGTAAAACCTTCCATGACAGCAACCATTTTGAGATTATATACCTTGTGAATAAAGCTGTGATGATCGAGTCTTTTCGCGCGTTACATATATATGGTTTCCAGGGAACGTCAAATTTGCGGCAAAGAAATAATTTATTTAGTCTTTGAATGATGACCACGAAAACAAAAAGAGATAGGAAAGTTATTTATTTATCAACCTCAGTTTGATGAACTGGCTGAGATCGATCAACTGAGTCAAATGAGATTGGTCCTTTCTTTATGGACTATTTATATACATCCAGTAAGTAGGTTACACGTATAACGTATTTTCTGGGTATGCTTTTTTTTTTTTTTTTGGGGGGGGGGTTTATGACCCGGTATAAGTCATTCAGTATTATTTAATTACAGTCCAGTAGTATTGTCAAACTTTAAGAAACGCTAACTTTCTCAAAGAGTTAAAGTTGCATGACAGTTTTTAATCACACAGATTCAAATTATTTGGTCTTTGTCTCATTACAGCATTCTTCACGTGCTAGTGCCAGGTCGTCTGGATTTATTTTAGGATGAGAGGCCTTGGTAAAATTTTAAAAATCATAACTGCAAAAAATTGTTAAGGATTAAAAAAATCAGTATACATGTATTGCAGTTTAAATTTTTTAGTTTAAAATATAAATACTAAAATTCAGACTTTTGAGTTTTGATCTCGTTTAACATACATGAAGTTCAATATTCCACTTGACAAAAAAACATGCCCTTTTTTGATTTACCTACCTAGGCAAAGACATTCTTGGGAAGAAAAAAAAAGCCAAGAAACTTATATATGATTTTATAGACGTTAAAATCACATACCACCTACCAACAAAAATATTGGTTCAATTAATAAAGATTTAACCCACAATTCACAGGATCATGGAATCAAACCAAGCTTTGATATAAGAATTCTGTTAGTAGATAATTTGTATATGAGCTCCTAGGATCTAATTCAAGTAAACTTTTATGTAAAAAAAAAAAAAAAACCTACAACCCAGCAATAAAGAATGATCTAGTTAATTAGAATTTACTTCACAACCCTAAACACATTGAACTTGAAGGCATACCTTAATCATGGTGAGTCTCCAAGACCAAACTTACCTACACTTTTATGTACCCAAAAAAAAAAAAAATCACATATAGCCTACCAATAAAGGATGGTCAACTTAATAAAAATTCAGCTCACAACCCACATAATTGCAGAATCAAAAAGGAAATATATAAATACCTTATAAACATTTATTGAGCCTGAAAACATGTCTTGACCTTAGTGAATCCTTGAGATCCAATTTCCAAAACATTTTTGTTAAAAAAAATAAAAATAAAATAAACTCACATCCGATCGAAGATGAATGACTTCTCACCAATAGAAATAAAGGACCAGGCATAAATTCATATACTCTACCGATAAGACTATATCACAATCATAATGAACATAAAAGGTCATCTTTAGCATCCAAATTAAGTATATAATCCAAAAAACACTCACAAAAGTCTGAGACATTTCTATGTAAAGATCTTTCCAAACAAAATAATGTTAAAACATAATTGTTTGCAAATTCTTCTCTTGAAAGCTCAAGAATTTAATCTGTATTCCCAGTTAGGGTTGATACTCATTATCTCTACTTCCTTTATCTGAACATCAGCTCTATAACACTTAAATAACTCTATTGCTGTAGCTGATAAGCGAACACAGCCATTCATATAAAGAATTGATAGACTTTTGCAACCATTCTGTATAGATTGCAGCCCAAGATCACAAAGATGGCGGCATCGGTTAACGTGTAATCTCTCCAGATTCTGACAGTTTAATCCAATTGCTTGCCACCCAGATAGCTTGACCTCATGACACAAGGCTAAATTCCATTCCTGAAGTAACGGACATCCCTCGGCAATTGCGCCAATCGATGCATCACAAACAGCTCTGCACATCCGAAAGTTTAGGAATTTGAGGTTTGAGGAAAATCCTATTCCTGCCAGGGGATCTCCAAAAGGAGACCAACTTAAACAGGAAACATTTAAATACACTAGTCCACCACCGCTAACAATTCCCTTTATCCCTTCCGGCGTTAGTTTACAAGAATCAGCTTCCACATAAGCTAAAGTTTCTGAACACCCTTCAAAGCCCACACCAGCAATACCATCACAGTTTGATATCTTAACTGCCTGAAGTTGGCGGCACTTCTGCACGAGAGCTTCTAATCCTTTGTCAGAGATTTGGGAACAATAAGAGAGGTTCACGTGTTTCAAGGACAAGCAACCGTTACCTAAAGTCTCTAACCCATTATCAGTAATTTTGAGGCAGCGATAGAGACTAATTGCCATCAATAAGGGGCAACCACAAGCAATCAAGGATAGACCATAGTCAGTGACATTGGAACAACAATCCAGATGAAGATTCTGCAAATTTGAACCATAGCTTTGCAGGCAGGTCAATCCTGAATCAGTTATGTCTGTACAACCAGATAAAGATAATGATTCTAAATGTCGAAAGCGGCTTAGTAACCGATGGAGCTGGGATGCTTGAACGAAAAAATGATTCGTAGATAATGTGGGAGGATTTAATATGGTGAATGAACATTGGAACTGCAATGACCGACGGTTCAAATTTTGAATATTGAGCCATCGCCGGCAAGTCAGGCCAAATGATTGATGATCAATGCTACTATTTAAACGATGAAAAATAAAGGCAAGGCAGTCATCTGGCAGGTGCATGATTGATGTAAAACCTTCCATGCCAACCCTTTTAAGATTCCTCCGAATAAGGCTGTAATGATCGAATCTTTACAGTGAACTTCCTACGGGAACTAGATGAACTGGCTGGGTTGAATCCACAAAGTGCAGGTGAGTCTATATATCCGTAACCAATATGAACACCACATTTGCGGCAAAGCAGTTTAGTCTTTGAATGATGACCACAAAAAGGGATAGGAAAACAATTTATTTTATCAACCTGTGTAAACCGGCTGAGATCCACTGAATCAAATGAGATTGATCCTTTCTTTATGGATTTTTTATATTCAGAACCTATGTCAGATGTGATTCGATTAGAGGATGTCAAGTTCAGAGGATATCCACAAGAGCCACAACTGCACGGTGGACAACCAAATATCAAGATAAGGATAATATGAATCACAGAATAAAACACCCCAAAAGGAAAGAACAGACTTAGGTACTTGAGCTTATATACTTGGGACTTTTTTCGATCAAATCTATGACAAGTATTAGCATTTTTAACCTCTTTTTAATCTAAAATCCATATGTTCTAATCTGATCCGTTAAACTACATCAAGTATATAAGCTTAAATTAGTTTCCTCCCACCAAAAAAAAAAATGTATCCTACAAAGTGAAAGCAAAAAAATATATGATAAAGATATTATTTCAAAATGGTAAAAATATCAACATTCTGCATTTCAACTGTGCACAACATTAGGCTAACATAGATGGTTTCATTACATTTTATACTAATTCGAAATTACCAGAACAGAATGCAGTACAGTTCAATGATGATCAAAATGGACAAGTTGACTATGTGTCTTAGAGTGAAGAGATAGTAAAGCATAAAAGGTTACAGCAAGAACCTGAGCCCCGACAACCATAAAAGCACACCAAAATAAGGGGGGATAAGAGAAAACAGATCAGCACCGTTACCGTTTCTCTGTTTAGCACGGGTCCACATTACCTCAGCACGTTTTGTTTTTCATGAAAAAGGCAGTAAGTAGAAGACAGTAAGCTGATGTTTGGTGAGCAGAATATAATGCACAAAAATGATGATGGAACAAGGATGTAAATGGAAATGACCCTCATAACTCCCAAGAGAAAAACTAACAGAAGAATAAGCACTGTTGCATAAATAACGACATTAATAGAATAGATATTGTAAACATTACTGAGGACTCGTTTTTCATTCTTGCCATTACCATTCCCTCGCCCTTTTGGCCACCAAACATTTCCTAAATTTGAAGAATCATGACAATATTCACACAAAAAATAAAAATGAGATGTGTAACCTTTTCTTAGTGACTTCAAGGTACAGAAATCCACAACAGATCAGTCTAAGCTTACTTCTTCTACCACAGTCTAGAAAACTTGGGTGGAAGGTAGGAAAGGATTTAACTAAAATTGGATGCTTCTTAAATACCCCCACCCTACAAAGATGAAGCCCACTGGCCATGCTTGCTTAGCTGTTCTCAGTAGCCTTCCAATCAACATGGCATGAAACCAATCTAATATTTACAACATCTAATACACACAATCAACATCCACCAGCTTAGTCAAAGCCTATCCACATGCTGTTCTAAGATTTCTTTCTTTTTCCAACAACTGCTTTAACTCCTGATCTTCAATAAAGCTGCAAACTGATGCATGAGCTTCATTAAATATTACAGCCATGTAGTAGGGCATAATTGCATCTACAGCAAGAAGACCTTGGCCACAAAAAATCTTTTATTCCACAAATCTAAAACACACTAAACAGCTAATAGTGCAAATTGATAGGTCTTCCTTTTCTTTTTCTTCCAGAAAATTGCCATCATCTTTAAGTACATATTTATATCTGAATGGTTGATTCATGCCTCCAAAGGATTATGATACTATCCTGTGACCTTCATTCTTCAAATTATTTGCTTTCAAATGTAAAATGTAAATTAATTAAATTCGTCTCATAAGTCATGAAGTTCACATTGAATTGAACGTCGCTTGTCCTAAAACTATATTCAGGTTTTCAGCTTTAGATACCTAGCTTTTACGTGTGACTCTGACAGTGACAAGTCTTGCCAAGTTTTGTGTGTCAAATTATCAGCATTTCCAGGGAACTCATTTAGTAATTGACACAAATAAATTATAATTTCCTACACCAAATCTTTGAGATGCTAACAGCTAATAAAAAGAGAGAACATGTGCAATTTTTTTTTTGTTTTCTGAGAACTTCATATTTCATCACTGCAAATTCAGTTCTCCTTTCTTCAGGATTTTCATCTTATTTTTCTTGATTTTCTTGATACCGCATCCTTTCAACCATATATAATCACCATAAATGTTTATGCCACTTCCACTAAATTGCTTTAAGCTATAAATTGAATGTTTTTATCTTCCAACATCCAAACCTGTAAAATCATTAACTCAAGAACCCAAGCCACCAAGGGTCAACCATATGAAGATGCCAATCAGAAGAGACCAGGAGCACAAACATGAATCATATCCATCATGAAACAAGGAAAAATAATAAATAACCAAATCTGCTTCATGTACCTATGACACACAGATCAATATGAGCAAAATGATAATGAGGCGGATGTAAAGTAGCTTTTACGTGCTTGGGTGGCACTAAAGCTACCATCATGTTTGTAGAAGGCTTGAAGGGAGGCATTGAATGGCTCAGGCAATTTGAAAGCATATTGGAAATTGTCTGATAAATTTTTGCCTAAACTAAAGATTATGATATATATTCAATGACTAAACCAAGATAAGTTAAGGAGCTAGATGTGTCACTTGGAGACATGAGAATATAAGACAATAATTTAATATATTTATGAAGTAAAAACATGAAACACAACACAGCACATACATAATATATACATTCTAAGCATCTTACATTATTATCCTCCTAAAGAAATTTACCAAATAAAAATGTATTGACCAAAATTATTCAAATTATTCTGTATAGGAAAAGAATCTAGGAAAGAATTTCCCATGTCTCATCAAGCTGAGGTTTCCAGTCTTTCTTTCTACTGTTTTTTAGGTCGTTTTCCCTTTTTCAGGTACAATCATGTCCAACCCTTGTTCAGTACAAGGTCAAGACATGGTCAGCAGATGCCCAAGATGCGTTGGACAACTATCAGCAATGTGTTGTGGTAGTGCTGAGAATGGTTGGAAAAACTATGCGAAAATATAAAATAAATAGGCTTCCAGTGAAGTGGGTAATTTAATAAGTTGACTGAGTGGTAAAAGAAAATCAGCGTTCACTTTTGTAAGCAAACAGTCCAAGTAGGTGGTGAAAGGATCCAGTCAGCTGGGTAAAATAGTTTAAGGTTTGTCATTTCTGTGAACAAGCATTCAACCAGGTACATGGAATAATGGAACCACTTGAAAAGATGACATCAGAGAACAAAGTGGCTTCTAGTTCATTGGCAACTGGTCGATTGGGTACCTGCTCGAGTGTATGCATCAGAAAGTGATTGACAATTTCAAATTTCAAAGCTATTTCTTGGTCTTGGTGGTTTTAATTCTAGAGTCATGTCCTTTTAATGAAAAATGTGCTGACTCGTTATACGGACTCACAAAAACATTCACAATTAAATTCAAATATGATACATGTTGGTTTATATATTAAATTAAATTCAAATATGATATATATTAAAGTCATACAAAATATGTATGAGGAGGTAAAAACTAGTGTAAGAACGTTTAGTGATTAAACAAAGGACTTTCCTATAAAGATTGAATTACATCAGGATCATCTTTGAGTTTTTATTTGTTTAACTTGATCCTAAATGTTTTGACGGAACATATTTAAGGGGAAATTCTCAAATGTATGTTCTTCACGGATGATATAATTCTTATAGCAGAGACAAAAGAAGAGATTAATTGTAAACTTGAGTTATGGAGAAGGACATTAGAGTCAAAAGGTTTCTGTCTAAGTAGGAATAAGACGGAATATTTATATTGTAAATTTGGTAAGAAACTAGTCGACAGTAATTTAGAAGTGAAATTGGAAGATTAAATTATACCTCAAGTGGAAAAGTTTAGATATCTGGGAGCCATTATTCAAAATGATAGCGAAATCAGTGCGGATATTTCATATACGATTCAAGTTGGGTGGTTTAATAAAAGAAAAACTAAAGGAGTTATTTGCGATCGTATGGTGCCTAATAAACTTAAAGGAAAGTTTTATTGTACTATTATTAGACCGGCTATGTTATATAGCAATGAATGCTGGGCCCTAATGGGATAGCAAGAGCATAAAGTTGGAGTAGCAGATATGAGAATGTTATGATGCATGTGCGGACATACATGTAAAGATAAAATTCGAAATGAGTTCACACGCGAAACATTGAGGGTAGCACCTATTGAGGAAAAAATGGTAAAAAATTATTTGAGATGGTTTGGCTATATAAAAAAAAGACCGCGAGAGGCATCAGTGACAAGAGTGGAACATATAACTTTGAGCCCTATTAAGAAGGGTAGATGAAGGCTTAAGAGAACACTCTTGAAAATTGTTGAACGCGATCTCTTAATTAATAAATTTTTAAAAATTTAGTAAATGATAGAGCACAATGACGTCTTGCAATCCATGTAGCCGACCCTACTTAGTGGGATAAAGGCTTGTTGTTGTTGTTGTTGTTATGATACATGTTGGTTCAATATTCAATACAAAAGATCGGTTCCATCATACAACTCTTATTTTCCCTGATCCATGACTTTGTTCTAGGAGAGAGATTCATAACTTGCTAAGTGTTTCTCTCTGAAATGCTTTGGATAGCTCCTTGAAGTTTCTGATCAAACAAATGGCATTAGGTGTGATCTAAATGGCAGCCCCAGGATAATGGCATAAATTATTTGTGTAGGCCATACTTACATGTTCACACATCAGTCAATGCACAAAAAAAATACCTACATTACAAATTTTGGCAACGATACAAATAAAATTGCCACCACGAATCAAACCCCCTAAAAATTTTACAAATTCTAGACACTGTTTAAGGGTAATCACTTAACAATAAGTTAAAAATTCATCAGCTTTACCCGATAACAAGCTATCTGGACTAAAACCTATGAAACAGATCATAACTAAAAGAAACAGAAAACGAGAATCACCTGTACGAGACATCAGCTGGTGACATCCTCTCTGATTATAATAGTGATCAGGACCAGCCATCATTGTCCATCGAGTTCGCCATTATTTGCAGCAAATTGTCAGGGAAAAAAAGAGACTTCGAAGTGTGGGGAACCACTGAATTCAGAGTAGACTCCGAGACGGTGAGACTCCCTCCGAGATTAGAGATTATGCTTTTTCGATGCCCGTTGCCCCTAATCAATCTCTCTCTTCTTCCTTCGATGCTTCTTATGCAGACTGGAGATTTATTAACCTATCAAAACCAGCTAATTTGGTTTACCATGAACTCTTTGATTTGTCCTTTAATGAAAAAGATACAAACAAGCTCTGTTCCAACTCTTCCCGTTTGACCATATACCGAATCTGTCACAGATATGACTTTTTCCTTTCCCCGGCGGTCATAGATATAATTAATTATCGGAATAGATTAGATTATGCATTAAAAACGTTTGCTGTTATTATTATTTTATAAAAATAAAGCATAATATAATAAATAGAAAAAGTCATATGGTAACAAATTTTTTAGGGGATTTGTGAGTAATGAGTTATGTCTCAATTTTAGGTGACTTATTAGTAATTCTTTTTACTTGAAACCTTTTTAGGAGAATTATCTAAAGATTATTTAAGTAAATTATTTGTAGATATAAATTAACAACAAATCTCATTTAAAAAAATTATATTTTTATTTTAATAATAATTCATTTTATATAAATTTTTATCTGTAAATAAAATTCTTTTGAGTAATTATTGAATATGATTTTGTCAACCTTTTTTGTAATTTATTTTTTTTATCATGTAAAAATTATGTCATCTCACAAGACAATGGTTGTATTGAATAAAACTGATTTATACTATTTATTTTGAATATAATTCTATAATATAATTAATTTATAAAGTTGATTAATAAAATTAATTTTGACTATAAATGAAAATATTCAAAATTTGAACTTGAGGAAATTAATTAAATGAATCCATCTTTTTACTTGTTGAGTTGTGTACTTGATATATATAACAAGTGATTTTAACAAGTATAGTTTTAAGTTTATAATTAATTTTGAAGTTGAATTTAGATTTTTTTTTAAAATCATGTTTTAAATTTATAATTAATTTTAAATATATAATATGGTGGTGTTTAAATATATTTTTACAAAACTATAATTTCGACTTTTAAAATTAATTTAGAAAGGTATCAAGAGATGCACAAAAATGGCGCCAAACATGGCTTATATAGTTTTAGGAAAATTAATTATTTCATCTTTATAATTTAACAGAGTAATTTAGTTTTTACAGTTTGGATACACAATTCAGCCCCTCTAACTTATGAAACCTCAAAGCAAGTCCCTCTAATTTAAGAATTAAACGAATCATCTCACTGCCTTTGCCACGTGTCTAGTTGGCAGCGCTCGAGCGATGAGGCCATTTTCCCGCGTTGGCGGGAAAAGATCAAGACCTCCACTGCCTCACTTTGTCATCGCGAACTGGAGGAACACGGATTGTCTCTCAACAGGGTATCTCCTGTGTCTGCAAAACGATGCCCATTACTAAAATTAAGACTATCCAATCCGTTGATGCCTTAGACAGTTTGACGGCAGAGATTACGTATTGCATCGCTTAATCGTGACCCTTCATTCGAGTGTGGAATCGTAGCAATCTGTGTTCTCAATTAAACCCCTCAATCTTCTTCCCTCTACTTCCGCCCTCCCGCTTGCTTCCCCAATCGCCTATCGTCGCCGTCGCTGATTTTTTCACCTCCTCAAACCTCTCATCCTCTTTTCCTCTGCTTTCGTATTCACATGAACTTTAGTATTGACGGAGCTGAAGGAGAAACTATTGAAGAATGCATTAAGCTCGATGCTGCTGGAGTATTATTTAATCCCGTGAACTACTCCACAGTCGTGACCTTAATGTGATGACTCTGACAAACCAGTCTGTCCTATTCTGTGACTCGCCATGCAAAGCTAGATTCCTCCTAAGACCATTCTAATGATCTTTTCCCGACGCTGAACTGAACAAACCAGAAGTTGAAGAATTTGAAAGGTTTATCCAGCAAGACTAATCTGTGTACCTCTGTTTTATTTGAAATTGTGAAGCATAAATAGAACCCAAAAATCTCAACGAGAAAAAGAAGCCAAAGTACGAAGATGGTTTCCGCGAACCGAAAGATCAAAGCTTTCTTGTCAAATATCTAAGATTCTATGTTATCTCTAAGAGGATCAGAAGTGTTCCTTCTTGCAGCTTTCTTTTTTTTTGGAACCCATTGAACATGAATATATAGTAAAACGGTGTCGTTTTACTACCACAAGAGGTGTCGGAGTAAACATCTCTTTCTATCTTCTTCTCCTTGTTTCATTAGTATAGCTATTGCTGAGCTGATTCTCAATGCCTGTATTACTATGAGCTCTTATGTGGGTTCTGCATAACCGGGAAACTGTTGACATAATTCTTACAAAATTTAGGCAACGAAGATGGCTCCCTCGTCTCCGATCGGTGCTCATTCTCATCCCTCGTCAATGGCTCCCGAAACCATGGAGAACAACATTCAGGTGAGGTTTCTCATTCTCTCTCCTCTCCCTACCTACTGATGCCTCAGAAAATCCACATAAGTGGAGCTGGGTTCGACTCACTTTTTGCCCTGATGATGAAATCTATTATGAGAAATTGAAGACAGAAGATCCCTTAGCATGATCCCCACAATTGAAGCATGGTACCCCTTTTTGTTAAAAACATTTTACTAAATCCAATATTTCCTTTGCCATGAGCCTGTGCTTCAATTGCAACTGGGAGTATTCTGTGGTCTTGAATGGATGTGCATATCGTTAGAAGAGTGATACCCATTGTTAAGTGATGATTACAATTACCATTTATGAGAATGGGGAAGGATTGAAAATGAACAAGTGTCATAGGTAGAAGCTAGTTTTATTTTTAGTTTGGTTTGACATCCCAAGATAGTGCTGGAAGAGTGCTGATGCACTTCTCATTTGAGTTCTTTCTACAGCCATTTTATGTCCTTCACAAAGCTTCATCTCGAGGAAAAGATAGAAAATCTACAGGATATGGAAGAAAGAGAAGGAGAAAAGAGGCACCTTCATCACTGCAAAGCCCTAAGAAACTTGACAGGAGTATTGCGGAAGAACATGATGGCCATCATCTTCAGCAATTGCAATTTGAAGCATTTTGCTTTATTTGGTCAAAAATTGAGTCAACTATCAAGGTCTGCAATTTATTTTGGTTTTTCTACTTAATGCCTTGTAAGTTCATATACTGCTCAAGTGATAGATGCCGTCAATTAATTTGGGCAGCACAATTATGAGGCCTTTTTCTTTTTATTCTCAAATTCTTGAATAAGAAGATATTGAAGAGTCATTATTTTTGTTGCAGGATGTTTTGAGAGATATCAATGCTGGTGTTTTTGATGAAATACGACAATGGGTTCTGGCATGCTTCGATGCTACTAGAGCAACTGGAGAACCTAGCTTTGCCAACTCAACTGGATCTTTCCCTGTTCTGAACACAAGTACTCCTAGCCAGCTATTCACTGGGTTGGTTATTACCAGTAAGCTATGCCTCCAACTCTTTCTAATGGCTTTGGTTATTTGAAGCTTTTGCATCCCGTAGTGCTTTGATTGCTAGTGTCATGATAATTGAAACAGATATCTATCGATTTTGTTAGATGCAATTTATATTGGTTGCTTTTGTTTATCATAGAAGTTAAATAAAAATAACATCATTTATCGTTTCTTAAGTAGTTTTCTGATGAGTTTTTGGTTGAATGATGAGTGGCAGAAAACGTGGAGTTTGTTGATGACATTTTGACATTTGAAGAGCTTAGTCTCTTTTTGAAATCGCAAGGCTGCCATGTGGGTAAGCTATCATCATTAGACTTTTCAGTGAAAAATGGGATTGCTGGTTGCCTAAAGGCTTTGTTGCGAGAGTTTATGGACACCACTATAGATGTAGGTACTTCTACATATTTAATTGATTCTATCTACATTTATTGTACCTAATATTTTTTTTTTCCTCTTCAATATGCTATCTTTTGGCAGTCAGCTGATATATCAAACTTAGCGTCATGGTATAGAGAACAAGGAAACTACAATAAACCTCTGGTTCTAATAATTAATGATTTGGAAAGATGCTCTAGGTCGGTCTTAACTGATTTTATCCCCATGTTATGGTATGTTTAAGCATCTTCTGAGTATTGATTTATAGATATATATGCATGTATTTTTGTAATATGTTGTGCATTATTTGTATATTGAATACTCAATTTAGTTAGCCATTTGCTTATCTTAACTGTGGTTGAGGCCTCATTGTGTATGTGTCTCTTGTATATGAATTCTTGTATCTAGTGATTGAATATTTTTGTACAATGGTGCCTTTCACTTCGATGATTTTACAACAGCCTTCATTTTCTTCTACTCTTTCTACCAGTGAATGGGTAAACAGGGTGCCGATTATCTTAATATTTGGAGTTACGACCACAGTGGATTCCCTAAGAAGCATTCTTCCATCACATGTTCTTCACCATTTGTGCCCCTGTAAGTTTATGCTTGGATCACCAGCTGAGAGAATGGATTCAATTATTGAGACTGTTCTTGTGAAGCATTGCACTATATTCAGTATTGGTTACAAAGTGGCACTATTTCTTAGAAACAACTTCTTAAACAGGGATGGGACATTAACTTCTTTTATCCGAGCTTTGAAGGTAGGTAATACAATTTGGGTTACTGGTTTTTTAGGGCTTTTTTATATTTTTGTTATGTTTTACTCACTACACCTTCAATAATAGGGGATATGACTTTCTCTTTTGTTTGTGATGTTTTGTGAATGCATCTTTCCAGATATCTTGCATGTTACATTTCTCTGTGGAGCCTCTGAGTCTTATACTTAGCCAAATACTTGCTGAAGAAGACCAGGTAGTGGGATATTTTAATCCTATAATGATTAATTGTCTTTGCTTTTCTCTTTAAATTATGTAGCTAATCATAGTCACATTTGTTGGAGATATAAAAAGTCATCCTTACCTATAACATGAAAGTCTAAACTCTTTGGTCAAGTCATATATCTATAGTATTATTAGATCCCTTTTGTCTTGGTGATCTATAGTCATTTTGGTCCTATTCGTTTGCATAACTAAGTTTGACATTTCAATATATGGAGTGGTAAGCTGGTGCTTCTGTCCAAACTTCGACTTGCTGGCTGTTTTGTCAATTGGCAGGTTGAAGATATAGAATTCTCTGGTCATAACAAAAGCATCCATTTTATTTATTTTTCTCTTAAGGAGATAAATTAACTACAATTGTCTAAAAGCTCAACCTTGTGGAGAGTATGAGAATTTAATTGTACTTTCAAATGCTTCCCTTATGATGGCTTGTGTCCAAGGCCAATAGATGGAAAATTTCATTTTAATGGAATCTTGAGATGTCTAGATTAGAAAACATCTTGGCTTCAACTGTTTTATGTGTAAACTTCAATTGTCAAGCTACGAACACGGCACATAGTGTTATTCAAATATAAAAAATAACGGGATAAGAGTATATGCTAACATTTTATCCAGAAAAATGTCGACCTAAAATTTTTCCCTGAAAATTGTTTATGCAATTATAAGTAAAGGTGAAGTTAATAACTGCAAATATAGCCTTGGCAAACCAAAATTTTATACTGGCTGCAGTTTCTACTACAGCTAATAGCCATGTATACAGAAGCACTTGTCATTTTGCTTTTTTTTTTTCTTTGCAGTTTTTGTGGAACAGAATAATTTTTCAACTGTGACAAGTCTTATGGACAATTGCTTCCATTTTCTTTGTTCCAACATTTTCTGGATCAGATCCTTTCCTTAAATTGGTCATTTTTTTTTATCACTTCTTATCATCATGATGGTTTTTCTTCCCACGTCTTTATTGGTTTTTCATAATTGTGTTCCTTAGGATGGAAAATTTGCATTATCACCTGATACAGTGTTGAAGTTTGTGCATGAACTTCCACCGTGTGCAAGGTACCACCTTTTACAAATATTCACTGTTTTGCTTTCCTAAATTGCAATTTTCTTATATGATGGTGAGTTTACCTTTTTTTAAAAAAAAAAAAAAACTATTTAATGCTAGGAATCGAATGGCTGATGAGACTGGGAGAAATTTAGCCCAAGGCTTGGCAAATTTGGTTATTGCAATGAAGCTTTGGAGCACTGCAGTCTTGGTAAGATTTTAAAATTCTGTGTTTGCGTTTCACTTTCACTGGTAAATTATTTCCAAGAACTGCCATTCCATTGTTTGAACTCTGAATTTTTGAAGTTTTCTTACCTTAATGGGTTATTTATTATAGATAATTGTATCTCCTGTCCAATTTGATTTTGCATAACCCAAACAATTTATGGATGATCTATTATAGATAATTGTTTTGTTGTGGTGTTTTGGGTCAAATTTTCCCACCTCTATATTAAAGGAAAGGTGCAAGATAGACGTCTACCCATTCCTTTTGCCTTAGACTTCTTTTGAATAAAATTGATTGGAGGAAGATAGTCGCTAGCCAGAAAAAGATTCCCCCCTCAATAGTTCTTAATTTAGCCAAGCATCAAGACATGTAAACGAACTTAATGTTAGTTGTCAAAAACATTAATGACCTTGATGTTGGACCAGTAGCAAAATAATAAGAAAAGGGCTTGAGAGAAGGAGAAGGGAGAAGATGAAAAGAGAAATAACTAAAGGCAGAAGAAGGAGAAAGGAGAGGGAGAAACAGATAACAGGCTGATGAAAAATTTTCCCTCTGATTGTAGGAATAAAAATAAAAATAAAATGGGACTCGTGCTGCCTGCAGATGAGTGTGACATTCTTCTTTTTGACGAAAATTCTGAATTTTCCTATTCCTATTTGAAGATAACCCAGTCAAGATGCTATTCAACCTCTCGTACTTTTATCCTGAAGAGCAGTTATTGCTGGCTGATGGTACTTGTTCAGCCTCCACCAAAGAAAAGCAGTAGCACTTGATGGCCCATATTATGTGATATTTATATTACCTATATTTATTTAGAACGAGATATTGCACTATTTAATAATTATGTTCGGGAAATTTCTCCTATTTTATGAGATGCATCCTTTGCCTTTTGTGTATCACATTTTTTATTGTATATTTTTACATGTTTAGTTTGATGCTATTCATGGAGTTTGAGTCTTATAATAGGAACATCTTGAATCTAAATCAATTTCTCAATTGATCAAATGTGATAACTCTATGTTCAATTGGCAAATGGAGGGAAAAGGCAGGTCCTAAATATTGTTTTATAATCTTGAGGTTTTCAATGATTCTGCGCCTTTGGTGATGCCTCTTGGATCATCTCTATGTTGAAAATTCCTTTGCCTTGGCTTTGTTAGTAGCTGTATTGTATGATTAATAATTGACACTGAAGGTGAAAAATGGATAGTATTTGGTATTTTTGTGATTTTCATCATGGAGTTATCATAACCTGCTTGCCCTGTAAATTTTGATAGTCAGCTGAAGCTAATAGTTTTGAGTTTGTAATATATATTTTATTCAGTGCCTGCATGAAGCTGGAAAATATAACAGAATTCGACTGCTGGACTTGTTTTGTGAAGCACTCAATTCAGATTTGTTCCCATCAAGGGCTTCTGATTGTCAGGTGTCAAACAAAAATGATTGTGGCTTGTCCTCATCCAGTTCCTACCAACAGTGTGCTATTATTCAAAAGGATGGTTTTATCTCCCAGATAGTCCGCAAAGTGAGGTAGTTAGAATGCCTTTTTCTTGTAAGAAAAGCTTAATTTTGCTTGGGGCAAATTGGCACAATAAAGAAGGGAGGATAGGCAGAGCAAAAATGAATACGACAGAAAAGAAAATGGAGCATAGGTATAGAGATGGTGAAGGTAGTTTCTGAAATTATGTAATTATAGTTTGCATCAAGAAATGGCATCTAAATATTATGGTTTCCTCCTATCATAGAAAATCCTAAGATTGGTTTTTCCTGCATGGTGTTTGGAGATTAAATTTAATAGGAAAAGAAACATTGGCTAAATCTCCCCAAAATAATAAAGCAGAATACTTATTATAGATCATAAACTGAGACTATACCATGACTACTTAAAAGTAATGACATAAAGTAAAATAAAATACTTCTTTGCTTTTTAGTGAATGCCTCTGGATACATTTTAAAATTGAATTCATCCATCTATGTTTGCTATGGAACAATTATGCTAATAGCAAAACTGTTCATTTAGACATTTCATACAAGCTATCAATTGTTTTATTTTTAAAATTTGAACGTCTCAAAACTTTGATTGTAAATTGGATCAGGGATCTTCCTCCTGCAATGTTATTTCAGTTGATTAAGAGCTGGGAAAAATGTACTGAGGGTGTTGTTGAGGTATGTTTACTCATGGTGACTATGATTCAATGTTTATAATTTAAAAAAGAAAAAAGCAAGTTGTGTTAGTAGTCAAAGGTTTCAATGGGCATTATATTAATATATGTTTTCATTTTTTCTAAAATCAGTGAGACTGGAGAGAGAGAGAGAGAGAGAGAGAGAGAGAGTAAGAGTACTGGAAAGTGTGAAGTAATAGGCTTATGTTATATGGGTTCAAGCAATTCCCAACCAATCTTTGATACATTCCTTTATTTACTGACTTTCCTTTATTAGCTTCTCCCGGTTTACGTTTTGGCGTGGTAGATGTTTTAGATAACTTTCAACCAAGTTTGTTGGTTTTTTCAAGCAAATCAAGTGTATACTTTTGTTTAGAGATACAAATCTTTTCTTTAGATCTAGCAACTTCCATCCGCAAAAAGTATTTTAATGTCCCAAGGTCTTACGTCTGAAATTCATCTGCAAGATACTTATGGAGCTCTTATCTCTCATTTGAAACATTCCTATTTATTCTCTATCATGCTATCAACATAAGTCAGAAACTGATATATTGTAACGTACCTGAAACAGAGTGTTTGATAAATAATGCACTTTTGGATGCACCTAGGCATGATTTGTTATATACCAACCATGGCCACACCATAATACCATAATTTGAAGATTTATCAATGTTGTCTTGGAAGAGTAAGAAACAAACAATTATGGCTTGCTCTATGTAGTAATTGAGTACAAGGTTATGACAGAGTACTTGTGAGTTGATTTGGTTAAAGTTACTGGAAAAATTTGGTTTGCAACACTCAGCCTATGGAGTTAATGTGGGATGACTAACCAAGCCGCAGTTAATATTGCTTCTGATTCATTATTTTGTAAAAGAATAGCATATTGGTAGATTGTCACTTTGTTAGAGGGAAGATTTTGCTAACGTTGATCATGATAATCTATACTATATCCTAATATGAATATCAGCCGATTTATTTTCTGAATGTATTTCAGGCTTTTTGACCAAATATGTATGTAATCTTGAGCCATATGACATATATATACTTTAGCTTGAGGAGTGTTGGAGTCAATTCTTACTGAGTTATAAGTTCTTATCGTTCATTATCTCCTTTACTTTATTCTTTTAACTATCTGTGTTTGGCATACAGGAAATATGGAAATGAAAAGGGAATGAGGATGTTATGAGAAATGACTCTCATTTTCCTACATAAAAGGAGTGATGAAAAGAGATACTATTGAGTAGTGATAACAAGGGTATAAGAAACATTATAGAAGGGTTTATTTTCCTTTTTCTGCCATTCCCTTTCCTCCTGCCTTTCCACCATGGTACCAAACATAGCCTGGCAGCTGCTTTCACTGTCAAATTCTATTGCTTTCAATAGCATAAATAATAAAGGGGCTCAAGAGCTAGAGTACCTTAGAAGCTGTATAACTTTTCTCATGATTTAGGGGCTGGTGAACATGATTAAATTTTACCATTTTCTCTTTGAAAGGCCAGCTTTATCAATTTCTGTCTGTACTGTTTCATTCTATCGATTCATTATTGTAACTTTTCTCATGAAGTGTTGACTTTTTTGCCTTCTTTGGGTGAAGTGACTGGTTGAATTATGATATGGTTTGTTTCAGATTCATGACAAATTAAAAACGTTGCAATCTTCACTAAGATGTGAAGATGGACAATGGCCAACCAAGATTTCTGACGTTTCCAAGTAACATTCTAATTTTGCTTTCTTCATATTATATCCATTTTGATGTAAGTTTCATGGCAGAGCTTGTTTTCTGTCTTGTCTGCCTGGTTTTATTGGTGCTAGAGGATGACTCTTCAGTATTTGAGATTATTTCCTCATTGCTTTAAATTACAATCAGTGAATTGATCGTTAATAATGTTAGAAAGTTGGATTAAGAATCAATCCAACTGAATTTGCTAGAACGGGTCAAAGTGCTGTCACAGCTTGACAAAATATCTAAATTTCTTATCGTATTGGACAGTCAAATTATATGGATATTTATACTATCAGGGATATAGTACTAGGAAACAAAATAAATCAGAAAGAAAAATCCCTAACAATTAAAAATTGTAATTAGAAATTGGTTAATTTCTTAAACATATGTCCAATTCTTAGGATCCGCTATCAACAATAATTTTATGATTTCTAACATTCTCAAGCTGATGATTGCATATCTTCCATTCTATATTTGATGATTACGCTATGAGAGATGGCATTAGATGACCTTTTGGCGAGCAAGTATAACCTCCCAAATCCTGAGCTGTTTAGATGATATTCTCCCCTATGTTGTCATTCATAGTTGATATGCCAAGACATAACCGCATTATTCTTGGCCTTCCTACTTATTAAATTCTAGGTCATTCCTTTCAGGTGGAGGAAGATAAACAAGGAAACAAGGAGCTGATTCTTAACATAAAATACACTGTAATAGCTACTTAAGGCAACTGATCTGAACAAGAGCAGCACGTGACTACTCCTAGATTTCCAACACACACATTAAAGTATTCCCAAAAATGATCAATTCTTTGTTTAAGGCTTCATACACATGCCATAAATTTAAAGCAAATTGAAACTGCAACATTCATACATATTACTGAGTGTAAGTAGATGAAAACGACTCTTAAAAATGATGATGTAATAATATAAATGATAACACATGAGGCTATTCAATAATTAGCCTGAATTTTAAAACATTAGTCTTGTATGTTGAATACGATATTATGTTGGATTATTAATTTTTTTCTTTCATCTGGGTGGGCGTTTCAAATATTAGTATTTATTAGTTCATTATTTTATCTTGAAATAATTGTATGCTATAAAGCAGAGAGATGGACATGACACAAAGTGACACTACATTATAAAAATTGAGTATATGCGCTTAGAGGAGCAATACTGTGTGAGGGTCGAGTGGAGGAAATTATCATCTTTAGGTCATATTAATGGTAAAGATTAATGCAATACTGCCGTAAATGTGTTATAAATACCTTGGTTTTTGCATTAATTGTAAAATTGCTTTTTGTGATAAATGGTACTTGTTTTCCACCTTGCACTTAATATCACTTCTCTCACTTTATAAACTCCATATGTAATTTAATTATTATTTTTGGTAGTTCCAATGGTACTCAATAATTAGAGAAAGGGAACAATAGAATTTTGCTACATAAATTCAACCAAATCATAAAAATTGTATTACATGGTTCAATATGAGAGGCATGGCCAGAATGTAGAAAATTGAGTCTCTTTTGAAGTGTTAGGGGCCAGCTGGACACTTCTTGAGGACAGGTGCTTGCAAAACAAGTCAAGAGGAGAGAGGAGAATGAAGGAAAGTGGAGGAAGTGGGGCTCTTAGGGCTGAGGAAGAAAAAGGATTGGGAGGAATAATGAGAGATTTTTATGAATTGGGGGAAAGCAAAATGGTTTTCTACCGTTAAATCTCCGATTAAAACTCATGTATGTTGATACAATGGTCTTGATTTTTTGTTTTTCTTGTAATTTCAATAAGGCTTGTCTTGGCATGTCTTCTCAACTATTGATATTTCTAACTGCAGCTAATATTCAATGGTAACTTAATTTTTGATTGGTGATTGATGCTGTTTATTTTCAGGAAACATGCAACCAGGATTTCATTAAACAGTGAGGACTCAAGAGTCTTAAATTCACAGGTTGTGACATTCATGAATGACTTGATCAGGTAAAATTTTCTATCATAACTCTGTCATTATTTATATGAAATCAGTATAAGTTTGATTAATCAGTTTCTGTCTATATGACATTTGAATGGTGGAAAGATGTGGAAGATACAAGTACCACATAAAGAGTTTATTTTTTGATTAAGTGAATGGAAGATTAAAATAGCTTATTTAATTAAGGCAGGAAACAATTGATGTCCCATCAACTTTTCTATTCTGTAAGTGTTGAAGTTCCTTGAATACTAATATTCTGGGTAAATTTCAAAGTTTCTTTCTCTAATCCAACCTAGAGATACCTGAAGAACTGAAACTGTATCTGTATAATTGGCTTGGATATGGTCAAGATCAGACGTAATAAGATAACCTTGAAATAATTGGCTTGGCTTGGATATGGTCAAGATCAGACGTAATAAGATAACCTTGAAAGTTTTTTCCTTTTACATGAATGAAGTTGTTTCTCTGTCAGTAATGCAGCATTGACTTGATCTGTCAGTTTCATTTGGATTTGTTAATGTACTCTGAATCTTGTAGTGTAAAAAGTATTCTCTTCTGACTAATATTGATTGAATACAAATCAATCTTCCATTGATGTGCATTACAAGGGATAACAGAACAAGTTCTGCTCGCACAGGCCCAGTTTTCAAATGAGCATCAAATTATCAACATGGATTTTGTTTGTATGACCTATACCAGGAATTCTGGTCCAGCAATGGAGTTTGTAAATGCATCTCAAAATGTTTTTGCATTCTATAATGACATATGTGTTATATTGAACTGACATGACGTTTTAGGCTTGCTCATAGGAACATCCAATTAGACTTGTTTGTTTTAATCATTTATAACATTAATGTGAATACCATGATATTTCATACCCTTGCTGTATTGCATGGAGTTCAAATAAGAACAGAATTTACCTTTGTCATTCAGCTAAAGTGTGGCCTTTACTTTTGAAACTATCTTTCACTGATCAACCTTTTTCATGAAACAGGAGTTATATCAGGCCCATTTCATGCATGCCTTTCCATGAAATTTTCTGTTTTAATGAGGCTGAGAAGCTACAAATGGTAAGGCGTCCATACATTTCTTCTACCAATATATGAACTTTAATAATACTATTTAACCCTTTTAGTATGCATGTCCCCGACCATCATGTGAAATGGCTAGAGTCTGACACTTCTGCATCTAATTTATCTGTTTTATGGTGTACCGAATGTTGGAAGGGCATTGTTTAGGTATCAATATCACACGCTTATCATTTAATGTCTTTTGCTACTTTTCATTCCTACTCGAACTACAATCATTCTTCAATATTTAAATCACAATCAATGGACCCATTTGCATTTCGATGTGGCTACTATATTTTAACTTCGCAATGTTTACTTTTCAATATATTCTTGATTGTCATAGGCTCTCACTGGAGATCCAAGAAGCAGAATTCAAGTTGATCTTTTGGACTTCAATAAAATTTTGCGGTGCAGTTGCTGTAAAAAGAGTAGCTCTGCCCTATTGCCATCCATGCATGATTCCTCAATCATGTAAGTATATCCAGCAAAGTGTTTTTCAAACAATTATTATGATATAATTATTTGACATGATTTCTCTTTTTAAAGTTTTCTCTGATAATTTTCATCAGTTCTCTCTCTCTTAAAGTCTCATCGATGATTTAATTAGCATACATTGAGAGATATTTTGTAAAAGGAAAGGGCTGGAAATAGTGAGCAAGTACAAACCAGAAAGTAGCAACAAACCAGCATAGAAATCTGGCATACAGAAGCAAAAGCGACAGGGAAATCGGAAGACTATAGGAACAAGTAAATAGGACATCCGCCGTGTTCTGCCAGAAATTCTCTCAGCCATATAAATTCCATCAACCTGATGTTTCAATACCAGTTCGCTTTCTCATAGATAGACCTTTGAAACTGTTGTCCTAACAATGCCCCCGATTGAGAGACACCTTGTCTTCAATGCAGAATCTGAAAATTGGTTTTTAATGCAGTCACATGGCTCAGTGCTGTAAAAAAGGATGCAAAACTCCATTGAACCAGAACTTTAACTGAACCAATGGGCAATGCTCCAATTTGTCTAATCCGTTCAGGTTCTCTAAATAGGACATCCAATGCATTCTGCCATAAATTCCCTCATCCAGATAAATTTCATGGATCTGATTTGTTTCAATACCTGTTCGATTTGTCTTATATTGACCTTTGAAACTGCTGTCCTAACAATACTCCCAATTGAGAGGCACCTCGTTTTCAATGGGGAATCTGAAAATTGGGTTTTCATGCATTCAAATGGCTTTGTGTAAAAAAGCATGCAAAACTTTCCATTGAACCAGAACTTCAATTGAACCACTGGGCAATGCTTCATTTTCTCTAACCTGTTCAGGTTGAAGCATAAGTTCTGAATCATCTGATAAACATGAAGGGTCTAGGGTTTTGGCTGAAATTTTTAGACCTAAATTCTAAGAAGGTCCTTTGTAATCATTCAAGTGCCTCTTTGATGTGGAAGGGTATATCCAAAACTCCTCTCATCACCTCCAAATTATCGTGGCAAACTGGGTTAAGAAAAAAACACACCAAACAACCACCACCTTTAATGGGTCATACACGTTGATCAGCAACATTTGTTAGGCCAGTTAACTCAAGCTGAAACAGTTGCAGATCTTATATTGGATAACAAAGCTGATTGGAACTAGAGCTTCCTGTTATCTTGTAATTTAAATTTTGTTACCATTACTGATTGGAACTATAGTTTCCTGTTATCTTGTAATTTAAATTTTGTTATCATTATCTTGTATTTTAGTGTACCTTATTCTATGTAAATTTCATAGCAACAAGGGTTAGTCAATTCAGTTTCATTAGTTCTTCCTTCTTTTTTCTACACTTCCATCTCTTTTCTTTATTCTTTGACATGAACCTTTGGCAGATAGTCCTTGTTGGACCCAGATTTGATCCTAATTGATGGGAACCTGAATGAGGTACCCACATAAGTATCCCATAGGACATCAAATACTACTCAATGTGATGCTAGGCGTTCTATCCTATCTCTATCTCCATCAAATCTTTTCTCTAATAAAGTGACAAACGACTTCTATATGTTAGGTCTTCTCATGAATATTGGATTGGAATCAATGTTATTGCTTCGTAGTTATCCCTAATCAATTCCATTTGATTCATACTTCCAAGTTTCCTTTCTTGAGGGCCTGCTTCTGCCATTCCAGATTTGATCCTAATTGATGGGAACCTGAATGAGGTACCCGCATAAGTATCCTATAGGACATCAAATACTACTCAATATGATGCTAGGCGTTCTATCCTTTCTCTATCTCCATCAAATCTTTTCTCTAATAAAGTGACAAATGACTTCTATATGTTAGGTCTTCTCATGAATATTGGATTGGAATCAATGTTATTGCTTCTTAGTTATCCTTAATCAATTCCATTTGATTCATACTTCCAAATTTCCTTTCTTGGAGGGCCAGCTTCTGCCATATAAACTCACATATCGCTGAAGGAATGATCAGTGCTGTCGTTGAGAGATTAACTGGCAAGCTTGGAGGGGGTGATATCCATTCATGAGTTTGAGGAGTGTTTATAGAGCCCTCTCATTAATAGTCGACTTATTGTATAGATTCATAGTCCTGATCATTAGGGAGCGGTGGGCATCCAAAACCTTTTCTTGAAAGTTAGCTATTAAGGTGGGAAAGCCAACCATTTAAATGACTTGAGGATCCTGTGCTACTTCATGTGGAACTTGAGCATTGTATGCTACCTTCATCTCCTTTAGGCCATCATCAATGTACTATCCTAGTCTTCTAATTTTAGATTTTAGTTATTGTAATTACTAGTTTTCATAGATTAGTTTTAAATACATTACTAGCATACCTTCTATTACCTGTATATATATGGTGTATCATATTATTGAGCATCTGTGAATCAGTGTCTTGAAAAAATGACCAGATGCGTAAGATAAATAATTAAACATGTTATTAAAGAATGTAGGTGATGGAAAACTCTGTTTTAGGATATTAATTTGAATTTAGAGTTTGTGTTATATATATTGTATTAGATTTTCTTTATTTCAGAATAAGATAAGGTTTTCTGGATTATCTTATGCTCTTTAGTATTTAGTTATTATCTTACGTTTTAGGGTTTATTAGATTTATATTAGAATATTATTTTAAATAATTATGCCTAGGGCTCTATTAATAGCTCAAAGGTTTTCTCAATTGTCTCACTCTTTTGATGAATTGAATAAAGTAGAGAATTTTGTGTTCACCCTCTCCCTCAAGTTCCTTTCTCCCTCCTCTTCTTTCTCCCCCTTTCCTTTTCCTGTTAAACATCAGTAGGGTAATCCATAATTCAAGCCTCGTTGGAAATTTGGAATTCTTGAGCTTCATTCCCGAGGCTTTGCCTGGAAACGTTCTTCCCATCCTTATAATCCTCATCACTTAGTCTGTAGAGATGTCTAATTGTTGTTGGAAATATATGCTAAAATCTTGGATATATATTTATATTTTAACCTCCCTAGAGCTGTGGAACAGTTTCCTTGCACCTAGCCTTGAATTTTCTACCTGATCAATCTTGGTTAAAACTGATGTTCATTGTTTAATACAGGTATTCCCTGGCTGAGGAGCACGGTGATCTGATTAATCTTCATGACTGGTTCAAGTCTTTTAAAACAATTATTCTTGACCAAAAGAATAAACGCAAACAAAAGTTGAAGCAATCCCCCCATAAAAGGAAGAGAAAGGATACAAATGAATCTAGTGATCCAAGTGAAGCATCAATTCAGTATCCTTTAGATTTTTTCTATTGCTTAGTACATTTCATCTATTTACCTTGACGTATAATTCTTTGAATGTGGTGATGCGTGTAACGAATTGCAGTTATAAAGCTGTTGTGTTTCTGCTATAAAGATTTTTGCGTCCATTTTCTTTCGCTTGTGAGTAAATATGGGGAAATTCCCAAAACTTTAATAGCTGGACATTTCCCAGAACTGCCTCTGTACAAGTCTTGAAATGGCATTTCAGTCAACTGCCATGTTTTCTATCCTATCTTTTTATCTCGTCTCCTTATTGTTTGTTTACCCTTTTTTTTTTCCCACGGGGGTACAAATGAAAAATTATGTTGTTTGTAAAATTATGTTAGCCTTCTACTATCCACAGATGTTTTCTATCAAGACTCTATCTTAGCCAATCCATTATTTACAGTTGTGAATCACGTTCCATTATCAATGATCACTTTTTCTTCACTGAACTTGCATCAATATCAGAGTTCAGAAATCTTGGTTCCTTCTGCCTCCTTACAAAGCTCAATTTTTTTTTTCCCAAAGAATTGTAGAATGAAAATTATTCATGGTTTCCCTTTTGAAGTTGCTGGAGTCATATCTTGTTCCCCAGCTTAATACCCTTCTAGTGGCCAAAAACAGGGGGAAAAGTTTAGCATTATTCTCTTATCATGCAGTCATGCCTAGTTTATATATGCGCACGCGTGCATCCTAGGTCATAATTATTACTTCATGACTAGTTTCTGCTAAAGCCAATATGTTTTGATGTGAAAAATGGTTGATTTAGTGGTTTTTATTGACAAGAACTCATCATGTTCTTCATTTTAAGATGATTAAGTTGCACGTCAATTTCTCTGGTAATTAATATGCATGTTTTGCTGCTCCCTCTCCCTTTCTCTGTATTCCCATTGCATTTTATTGACATTCATTGAAATCCTTGATCTTGATTTACTAGAGCACGCTTTTGCAATGCAGTTACAGAGTTGCAGATAATTGGCGTACTTAGAATGCCCAGCAAGAGACGCCCTGATTGTGTACAGAGAGTGGCCTTTGGACTTTGACTATTAAGAGTGACTCGTGTTTGCTCAAAACTCATCTGTATTGTTTTTACTTCTTAGTTATATTTTATTGAATCAATGAGTTAACCATGGCTTAATTTTAATTGGGTTTGCTGCTATACCCAATCAAATGAACTTAATATTTGCAGAATGACCCATGGCTCCAAAGATTTGTATTGCATTAATCTCTTATACTTGATTTATTATTTTACAGTTTTGTGGAGGTGTTCAATTCGGCAGTTTTATGGAGGTGTTCAATTCAGTAGTTTATAGTATTATTATGTCTTAGATGTAGGTTTGTGTAAGAGACTTAAGAGAAAAATTACATGCAGGTGTCTTGGAAAGGATTTATTTAGTCGTGAATTTTGAAAAATACAGCCAAGTTCTTTAGAACTAAGGGACCCAAGTATTATTGTTAGAAGGATGAGTAATTACATTGAAGTATAAACCAATGTGTAACAACTGATGTGAATCCTAATAAGAAATCGGCTATATTATTTATAATTTATAAAAGGTGAGACTCAATAAAATTTTGATATTGTATAAACGATCAATATCTTGCATATAATAGTTATATTATCTGATAAATTTGTGTAAATTATGTAAATTGCTTCACATCAACTTCATGTAAGTCTAAGTGTTGGGAGATTATACTAAAGTTTGTTGTTACTAATATTATTATTGATATGAATGACATTATCAAAGTTAATATGACTTGCATCAATATAATATATTGATTTGACTCACAAGATGCTAACATGTTTGATGATGTTTGGCCTAGTTTGCTTGTCAAATCAAATATGATAACTAATTTATCTTATGAGATGTGTTGCTTACTTTTGTCACAGGTAAAGACTTATAAGAGGTTGTAATTTAAAGGGGAGACCAATAAGAAATGACACTTATTTAATATATATGAAAATTTTCAACTTTTTAAAAAATATATATTTATTCAAAATTTAACTTTGATATATGCTCTTTTCGTTAAAAAATATAAGGTATTTTTAATAAAATTTTATTCAATAATTACTTGTCTTCAAATAATATTATTTTTTTATATTTATCTCTATGTAATAAAGTATTTTACTTTAAAATAAATATAAAATAATTATTTAATAGAGACACTTTTGAAAAAAAATAATGATTATATTTTGAAATATTAAAATGTGTTACATTTTTAAATATTTAATTCCTAAAAAAATATCTTATATTTTTAAATAGAGGGAGTATTATTAACTCTTTTCTGGCTTTTGAATTATTATACATTTTCAAACTTTTATATTTATATTTTATTGTTTAATATTAGACGTTTTGTAACATCCCAATTTAAATTTTAATAGTTAATTTAGGTTAATAGAAATTTTTTTTAAAAAAAATAATATTTAGAAGTAAGAAAATTAGTAGAAAATGATTATTAAATCTAATTTAGGATATAATTCTAAATAAAAAAAATTTAAAAAAAATAAATTTATTAAAAAAATAAAAAAATTAATTAAAAAAAATTATTAAATTATTATTATAATAAAAAAAGGGGAAAAGGTATGCCAAAAAAAAAAAGAAAAAGAAGAAGAAGAAAACGAATTTGCTTTCGGCGCCGCATGAATAGTAAATATAAAATAATAATAAAAAAAGGGGAGAGAGAGAAGAAGAAATAATAAAAAAAAATGTGTGGGACCCACTGAATTTTTATAAAACTCACCCGTTTCCTTTCATTTCTTCAATTCCTTTCCTGCGCGCGAGCTGAGGTGGAGAGAAGCGAGTTGCCGGTGCGAAATATCTAAATTTTTAAGGTAAGAGTTTTTAATAGGATATTTAGGGTGTGATTTTAAGCTTTTCAAGACTAAGTAAGTGTTCTAAAAATTTTTCTTAGTCATCTTTCTTCTTTGGTTTCTGATTTTTTTAGTGGTAGAAAATTTAAGATCTGGAAGAGGGATGAATTTATGTTGAATAAATATAGTTTTTGAGGTTGTTAGTAGTATAATAAATATTCTAGAGTATAAATTTATTGGTGATCTTTGAATTTGTGGCTTATGGATCAAATTCTAGACTAGATCTGAAAATATATGTTAATTTATTGAGGTTTAGATGATTATTTGGGATGAGAAATAAATTATTATGGCTATAGGATTATGATTCTAAGCTAGAGACTTAATTTTTAATTTTTGAGTATTTTAGGTGCGAATTTATAAAATAAAAAGAAAATTTTGATAATAGAAATTAGTTTAGAAGTTGATTTTTAAATTATTAATGTTTATTGATAATTAAAAGAGGAGTTAAAAATTATACTTAATAGTATTAACTATAAATTTGTATTAAGATTGAGATTAGGAATTATGTTATATTTTTAATTCTATTATTAGAATTATTTTATTAGTTTCAAAAATTGAAACTAATATTTATAAATAATATGTTATTTGTAGATTGTATTACTGGTGAAGATTGTGGTGAGAGAGAAATTTTAAGGAATAATTTATTGAAAAAGCCACAAGGTAACCATGCTTTTAATTTGTGATTAGTGTTACTTCATGTTAATTGGGTGATTATTGAGAAAATTATGAATTTTGTAATATTGTATAATTGTGCAATATTATTATGAATTTGTTTGATTATTGTGGGAGGTGTTGGGAGACTTGCTATTATTGTTGTATTTATGTGCCACGTGGTACGCCTCTATTGGAGCTCAATAGGTGGCTTGTAAGGGCTCGGGCTAATCTACCTTTGGCCGGGTAATTTAGCACCGAGTGAGGGCTACGGCTCGAGGTTAATGGAGGGATATAAGGATGGTTGTTTGTGTTTATTATAAAATTTCTTATATTTGTTGGAATTATATTATTTTTAATTCTCACTTAGTAAGCACACACTTAACTGTTTGTATACACTATCATAAATTGGCTTTGGTTACTGGGACTTTTGAGTCTCATTATGTGGTTAACAATTTTCAGGAGAAGAGCCAAGAGTGACACGTGGAGGAGTCCCAGAGACTTAGTGGTATAGATCCACTGTCTCTTTTGGGTATTTAATTTATGATTTATAATGTGTTATATTGCCAATATTAGGGCTTTTTGTTTATTGTCAATTATATGAATATATAAATGTAATCATGCCTTTCAAACTATTTCTATTTTTGGTACAATTTGGATGACTGTAATTTTAATATTTGGTTTACTTTGGATTGGTTAAAATGGCATGATTATAAGGCCAAATAACTGGCTTGTGTTGAAAATTGACTAAATTGCTTATTTTACTTGTTGGGAGTATAAGGATGGACAAATGTGATTTAGTTTACTTGTTGGGAGTATAAGGATGGACAAATGTGATTTAGCCTAATGGTATGTGGGAGGTAAAAATTTATCTGAAATGTTATAGTGTGTGAGTTGAAGCCAATTATAAAATATTTTATATCGAAATTATTGATATAAAAATGTGTTGGGTGGCTGTAACCCAACTATGGTTGAGTTAAATTATTAAAAAAAAAATTTTGGTGTGTTACACGTTTGATTTAAAATAAATAAAGAATAAATAATATATCATAGTCAATTCTAACTTAGTTCAATATATTACATTAATGATGACTCATCTTCTGTTTAGAAATATAATTCATTTTAAATTGAATAACACCTTTAATTTGTTAATTATCTTTCTTTTTTAATAATACAAGGCCATAGCAATAGGGGTGAGCATCGGTTGGTTCGGTCCCAAAATATACAGAACTGATTGATCGAATAATACTGAAAAAGAAAATCAAATCGAACCGAACAAGGACCGAACTGAAATTTGATAATTCGATTCGGTCGGTTAATTCGGTTTTTCGGTTTCATATTTGGCTATTAAAATTAGGCCTATTTTTTAAATATTAAAACAAACAACACTATAAAATTGCGCCTTTTTTTATTCGTTTTTTTCAATATGAGCCCATTTTAATTATACCCATATGACATAAAGCTCAAATATTATAAAGTCATGGATAATCAAAAAAACAATCACAAATAAACACCGATGATCAAATAATAGCCCCATAATCCAATCATAACACCTACTGATGAAAGTGACTGATTGAAATGGGGTTTCAAGTGATGTTATTATTTTTTATTCTTTATTAAAATAAAAAATAAAAATAAAAATAAAATAATTTATAAATTAAATATAATTTATAAATTAATAAATTATATGTAATTCGGTTGGTTCGGTCTATTCGATTTTAAATTTTACTAACCGAATCGAACTGATCAATCGAAATATTTAAAATAAAAAAATCGAATCGAACCGAAAAATCAAATTGACCGAATCAAATAGACAAAATTCGATTCGATTCGATTCGATTTTCAGTTTTGGTTCGGTTTTGCTCACCCCTACATATTAAAAAAAAAAACTATGCAAAAAGACAGCTTATGTTATGTTAGCATATAAAAGGTCGCTACAATCATTTAGTGGAATATAAAAAATTTAAACTTTTATATTATCGATATAGGTCTAATGAATAGTTGATCAGCACAATTGTTTGCCTCTTTAAAGACGTGTTTGAAAATAATTGTTTGGTTTCTCATAGCAAGTTCTTTGAGTTTGTTGATAATATTAGTGAGTGGATGATTAATAGGGAACTTGTTATAGATGAGCATGAGTGCTTTAATAAAATCAAAATGGATGTTGACTTTGTTAAATTTTTTATTTTGGTAGATGATAAGATTTTTTAAGAATGCCCATGAGCTTAATGGCTACGCTAAGATGATATCCAAAGTATTTCGGGAAGCTTGTAAACCAATTTTCCCTGTTATCTCGGATGAGTCCACCACAAGCAGTCGCACCATATTTGTTTATTAACATGTTAATGTCAAGTCTAAACCATCTTGCTTTAGGGACACTATTTTGCTTTTGATCTATCACTTTAACGAGACAAATAGTTGAGTTTTAATTGAAGGTTAAAATCACTAAGAATATTTTGAATACTTGTAAAGGCAATATCTTTGTTCACGAAGCTTTCTTCAAAATAAATGTTTTTATATCTTTCCTTTCAAATGTTCAAGCATATATGAGCAAAGAATCTTTGCCAATGGATTTTTCTTATACTTGAATTTCTTACATCGTTCTTTGCATTTTAAAGTATGCATTCTTGCAATGGGATAGAAAGAAAGTATCAAGTTTAGTTTATTTCGCTATTTTCATCCAAACCTTTCTAACTTTTTGTAGTCTCTCAAAATATAAATAGATGAGTTCAAAGTGTTATAACTAAGAGGCATGAGACAAGGGTTGGCATCATTAAAGTAGCTAAACTTAGATTATAGGTGATTCCAAATTGCTTTAAAAAAAAAGATTTTATTTTTTCATAAGTAAGTTATTTTTAAATTTTAAACCAAATATTAAAGTTGATGTTGTTTCTATGGTTTTCAATAATTTTATGATCTCCAATAAAGAACATCATCATCTACAAGGAGATTGGGAGATACGACAAGTTGATAATATCCTGGTGAAAATATCTATGCAATCAAGCTACTTTCTAACCACTTGCAACAACGATAAACTAATAGCATCTTTTATGCTTGTTTTTATATAATATGGCGTCTTATTTAAAAATTAAAGGTTGACTAATTTATTTATTAATTTTTTTTTAAAATCTGTTAATTATACATTAAAATATTAAAAATATTTTATATTTTATAATAAATAGAGTAAATGTTATCATAAAAAAATATTTATATACAAGTAATTAATTTAATTAAATGCATCTTAAACTGGTCATCTTCGAGGAAAAAATTGAAAAGGTGATGGTCTCCTATTTTACGAGATGAATTAGGTTGGATAGAAATGAACGATGGCCTGGCGGCTTTGGGTGCAGCACTTGTAGCCGGCGACTGAGAGAGTTGACGTAGAACAGGGAATCGTTGCGGTGGTGACAGGGGAGCTGCCGGAGGTGGGACAAAAATTCGGTGGCTGGGGCGAACATTTGGGCGAGAACTATTCGGGATAGCCAGGGGGTGAGGGAATTCGGTGCTGCGAGAGGCGATCGGCGCCGGATTTGATAGCGGTGATAGAGGCAGTAGGAAACTTGTTGGTTATAGTGGTTGGACGGAGCAATTTTTGCGTTCAAGGTTCGGATTCCCTAAACCTAAATCTTTCTTTTCATCAAACAATTCAGTGATGCGATTATAGTTGTTCTCTTTGGTTATTGCATTTGTGTGGAGCATGAGATTTTCGTTTGAGTTGAATCGGTCAATTTGCTTGACGTTCGGCCATGCAATTCTGTTATGCTCTTTGCAAATGATTTTTCTCTCTCTGAAAATGGTAAGAATATTTAAGTTTTATTTTTCAAATCCATGCAAATATTTAAATGTTTGTTAGTTTTCAGCCTGTTTCACTTCTTCTGGGCAAATCCGATACAAATGCCTCTTTACTTTATCAATTTGTTCTGCGTCTTCTCTTATTTTTTTTAGCGGGGCCAGATTGTTATTTTCGAACAAGACCTTGCGTATTTCTGTCTTTCAAGAGCTTATCTACTACTACTCTTGATTAGGTGGTTTATGCTACACTTCGGATTTGCCCCATCAAATGTTGATTTCACGAACTAAAGACTTGCAACGCCGACGCCTAGATCCTTTTCGGACGTAAATTTGGTGCGTTCCTCCGATTTAACCTTGTATTTTAGAAACTATTACAGTTTAACTGAGATATTCAACGGTTAACTTATAGTTGTGAGGTTTATCCCACTAACATCACCCTCTGGACTGTAGATATGAATCAAGTATTTAACACTATCCTTCCGTTGAACTTGATCAATCCCATGAGTGATTTTTTGTTCAAATTCATCTTCCAAGTTGAAGATGACGATTCATGCAGTGACATCCGGAGACAGTTTTTATGTTAATGAGTGAAAGCAGGCGATTAGCATGAAGCATAATCTCTGAACTTTGCAGCCTATTCTTATGCGGTGCTTTTGTTAAACTAACTTCATAGAAAATGTGTTCTTTTCCTCCCCTTTTCTCTTAATTTGTAGTAACTATTGGTGAGATGCAAGATCCAAGGATTCCTGTGCCAGAAGAAATCTTGAATCCTAAATCACGTAAGAAGAAGAGCTCAACCCAGAGAGCATCTTTATTTCAGCTACAAGGGAATAATGTCAAAGAAGCACAGGCACCTCTGCCACTAAAATCAGGACACAGGGGTTCCAAGAGAAACTTGATGACTGAGATATCACCCACTTTTCAGAAACCAGAGGGTTCAAACTCAGATTCACTGCCAGACTCCTCTTCGGCTGGAAATGATTACCGAGCATTGAGGCGAAAGTATCTAATGCTGGAAGATGAGAGCTTTGCATTAGGGAGAGAGCTAAAAGAGGTTGAAGACGAGGTAAAGACACTTGAAGATGAGAAGCTTGTACTGCTGGATCAGCTTGTTGTGTTGGAAGGCCTCGTGGATCCTTCAGAGATGCAGCCTAATTAGGTTTTATGAATTGCAATTGTCTAGAATGTTTGTATATGGTCTTCATCTTCCAATAGAGCAATCCATTTGTTATGATAAAATGCCTGAATAGGCGCCGTTTGTATAGCTCTTTAGAAATTGAAAGATAAAAAATTACGTTTGTAGAAATCAGACAAGTAATTTATGCTTGAAGTCTGAACTCCTTTGTTACTTTTCACTTGTGACTCAGATAGATTCTTAATACCTCTTCTGTTCTTTTCTGTTTTTCACCCTTTTCATTACTAAAATGAGAGTAAAAAAGACAAACAAGTCAAAGCGGTCCAAATATTTTGGGCTCTGAGTTTTTGCAGGTCAAAACTTATCCAATTCAAAGTGAGCCAACCCAAGCTCACTATTAAAATAGTATAAATGGATGAATGAAACTGTCTTTTTTTGTTTTTTTCTTAATTAATTGAGTGATGGTCTCATTGATCCGACTGTCTGGATCAATTTGCGTCTCAAAACATTGGTCCACTCTCCAACATTTGGATAAAAGGGTGTTAACATGTATGGTCACATGACGAATCACCTAAGTAGAACCTCAACTTGTAATTATTGGAAAACGGACAATGAAAGGATAGTGGAAATCGGCTACCAATTCTAGGACGCTGGTGATCTTTTAATGATGGACAATTCTATATCAAAGTTGCCTACAAAGACACTGAGAAAGCCAAACGATTAAAAGAGAAAGAAAAAATAGGGCCCATCTATTTGGGCGACCATTCATTTTTGGGGGAAAAATCAGAACTTAATCAGAAGCAAAGGAATTGGCATGGAACAATGGATTTGTCCTTTGAATTTCAACTCTGTCAACTTTTTGTTTCATATTCTAGAAGCCAAGATGAACTTATTGGCTACTAATCAAATGAGCACACACTTTGAATGGTGACTACCTCAAATTGGTTGGATTAGATTAGATGTTAATGGCTCTTTTAACCAAAGATGACATGCAATTTTTGGGGGCCTTATTTGAGACCACAACGATAATTGGATTAAGGGTCTCTACAAAAGAAACCTACTTTTTTTTCCAACACTAATGCTGAGCTTGTGAGTTAGGTTTTGTTTAGATGGAGGAAAAAGTCAGAAGGAAATAAGAAGAGAAGACTAAGAGAAGACATTTAAAGGAATAGTAATCTTTCAGGAAAAAAAGGAAAAGAAAAGAAATAGTAACTTTTTTTTTTTTTGGGTTACATTTTAAGAGTTTTTCTTCTTACTTATCTACTTTTTTTTTTTTGCCTCATCCAAACAATGGGTTAAGGTTGTATTAGACTCAAGGACATGAAAAGAGTCGAAGTCTTCAATAATAGGACATTTGACAAAAGCTTCTAGACTTGTACAAAATGAACATTCCATGAATAATCTATTTATTAACACTATCAGAAATGTTACAGACTTCATTGTGAAGGATTTGATTGTTACCTATAATTATACTTTTACAGAGATAAATAAGTACATTGATTGGTTAGCTCATTCGGCTAATTATATCAGTTTCACTATTTGACTTCTTAACACTCTTATTAAGAATGTAGAGATCTCCTAACGGCCTATTTGACTTAGTGTTCTGTTTTCTTCTGCATGTTAATGCGTAAAAAAAAAAAAAAACAGAGTAATGTGGTGGAAAAGTATGTGTAAAAATTAAAAAGGGTGAGAAACAGCTGCCTTTGGAAGAAGACAATATAATTAGCCAAGTAACCTCACAAGATTAAGGCATAAAGATTAATTTTTTTGAATGAGCACTGAAAAGGCCATTTGTGACCCTAATCATTAGCATTGATAGTATACCCTACTAAAATATATTTATAAATTTATCTCTCATTTTTGCACACATAATGGTATTTTACTTACTTGAATTAGATTGAATGATAAATATTCTCATTTCTAAAACAAATGGCGGAGAATTTTATTTTTGACTTTCATGCATGAAGTGAACTTAATTGAGAGGAATTTATCATTTATCTTTTGCATCTTAAGAGATATTAGTATCTGTTGCTAGTGAAGAAATACTCCTGAACTTAAAAAAAATTATGCATCGAGTTTAACTTATATATCAAAATCATGTGTAACTTTAAGTTTATTGATTATTGTTTGGCCAAAAAACTATTATTGAACTTTTTTTACACACACATCAAGTTTGTAATTGTAACCTAATGCGGCTAGTTATATTTCTAAAATGGAACCAAATATCATTAAATTTTGATATATAAAACTACTTAATTTTTTTTTTAATTTTGACTCCTATTTTTTTCCTCATTGGTGTTCCAATTGTATAACGTTACAATTCTATTAGATTCTATGATATCAAACTTTACCATAGAAGCAAATTAATATGAAGACTTTATTAATGAGTAATTTGTAAGTACTTTTTAAATTTAAAAGCATATATTGGTCCTGATAAGCCTTTGGAATTCAATTTATCTAAACTTCTTTCTACCAAAAAAAAACCTCTAAACTTATTGGAACTGGGGTGGCTTATGAGCGTCGGCAAGTAAAGCAGTATCATGTAAAGCATTTTACAAAAAAAAAAAAATTGAGAATTAGAATGAATAATTATTAAAAGCTGACAATTTATGATTTGAAAACAAAAATTGAATCTGTTATACCTGCAATTATCATGGTGCATTGAAAAATATTTACGGAATTGCTTATGGCCGTTTTATAAGTAACTTACGATTGACTTAAGTGATTAAGCAAGTTATAAGTGTGGTTGCAGTTAATCACACCCCAGCATCATCCTCCATGAACAAGTTATCGATGGTCAGAATATATTAAAAAAAAAAAAGCAACAAAATAACATATAGGTTCTGTGGAGGTGACATATTTACAGATAAATTTTACAAAATTTAAAAATTACAGTTAGGTTTTTTAAAATTTGAATATAATTTAAAATTTGAATAAAGAAAATAATGTTCCTATTATATATATATATATATTATATCAATCAAATAATTTACAACCATTTTATTAATAATTTATAATTATAACTTAAACTTTTTATAATTATAACTTCATATATTTAATAATTAAATTGATTAGCTTAATTATAGAATATGTAAAGTTACATTTACAAAAAGTTAAAGTTATAGTTATAAATTACTAATAAAATTATTGTAAATAATTAATGTTAAACTTTTTTAGTAATACATGATTGTTTAACTATTAGATATGTGAAGTTACAGTTGTAAAAAATTAAAATTATAGTTATAAATTATTGATAAAATAGTTATAAATTAATTATTTAATTAATGTAATGTATGTTTAATAGAGGTATTATTATTTTTATAGTCTAATTTAAAATCATACTTAGGTCTTAAGAAATTTGGCTGTGATTTTTTAATTTTATGAGATTTATTTGTGAATAATTCTACTCCACGGGTCCTATATGTAATGTTTTCAAAAAAATTCATGTTTATAAGAAATAAAGATTTTTTATTTAGATAAGTCCTACGTTTCATTAATTCTAAAATTAAAGTAATCATTACATCATCACCAACCCAAGATGCGATTGAAAGTTTGAAAACCATTGCATTTTAAGAAATATATCTAAGACATAATGATTAAAACATTACATGATTATGACATCACACATTTGCACGTAAGATGGCTTCATGTTATATTTATTATCAATTATTGCAATATTAACATTCATAAACTTCTCCATTTAAGTAATTTGATTAAGACCACAAATTTTTAAATGACTTAATTAAAGATAATTCATTTTGGTGTTGTTAGGAAGTCTAAATCTCAAATGTTTAATAACCGTTATATCATCATCTGGATAACAACTAAAAAACATGTACTCGTATTCTCACAAAAAAGCTTTAGCAAAATTATTCACTAATTACTTTTAATTGTGCATAGACCATCCTAGACCTGGCTGGAAAATGGCTAGGCCAAGGTTATGGATAAGACTTCACAGAATAAAAATTTGACTGTTAAAAATACTAACAAAAAGAATGAATGATAATTTAATATTATTCATGAAAAATTGTAGCATACTCTCTCTTATATTATTTACAAGTCACTTTAACATATTTAATTTTACTAAAAATCCAAAAATAATAAAAACTTTAAAACTCATTAATACTCTAAAAATTTAATAAATTTTCAACTTTGTTCCTATTAAATATACATATTTTATTAATATATTTTTTTCTCACCAATATTTAATAAAGATAGAAGAGAAAACTTGTAATAAAAAGTTACACGCTTTATAAATAAGATTAAAAAAATTCTTCTCCCTCTATCTTATAAATAGTTTTGGAATATGATGGTTTTTGCAATGCATAAGATTTGAATTATATGCACATTCTACGCTTGTAGTAGTAAGAGGCATCAATGTATCATTGTTTAACTTCATATTCTGTCATTAGTGTTCGCTGTTCCAATTGTATAAATGTGGTCTGCATCAAGATTTCAGCATGAATCTTGTTCCAGTGACTATATGGATCACTATTAACAAAGATTCTAAGCTAATTCAAATATTAACAAGTAATTGTTAATTTGTTACCAAACCATCCCAAGGTTCGCTGGTGCCCCCCGGACAACTAGAGGACTTGTGACCTGTGATCTTCTGTTCTTCCAGGACAAGAAGCCAAATTCATAGCCCTTCGAGGGAGCAACTACTTTGAAATTCACCATGAACTTGATTTTCTGCCCAACTCTTGTAAAATTAAGCTGGTTTGGCACAACAGTGACATTAACTCCAGCAGGAGAAGACACTTCAGATTTGTATATACTTCTTGCCTCTCCAACATTAGTCACAGTTCGAGATACTGTAAAGTTGTCTTTGAGATTGGGCACTATAATAGATGGATAGTTGAGGTCAGAGGCAGTTTTGAATTTTCTATGGCCATGACATGTGCTGTTGTCTCTGGTAATAAGCCGGAGCGACTTGTCATCGTAATTTAGGGAGCAGAGGAACTCTATGTAATCTTCTGACTTTATATCATAGATGAGACCAGGATTCAGAACACTTGCCGGGTTCACAAAGCCTGATCCATAATCAAATGCATTAGCCTTTCTTCGTCCAGGATCTGCTCTGATTGGTCCTTGTTGTTTGTCCAGAGTTGTAGCTGTGCATATCATACTCATGATTAATTTCCTGAAAGGAAGTAGTGAAGCTTGTGCACTGTGAGAGCATGTGCCGTAATCCTTCTTTCGTCCCAATGTAAGTTCTAT